AAAATTTCTACCTTTGAGAGGCGCATCTTCAAACTTGCACGATGCGTAGACGGCTTCTCCTTCTGTTACAGTCGCCGACTGCGGGAATGTCTTGAACACCGGGCTCTTGGGTTCTTCGTTGGGAACTGAAACAAAGTCAAGTAAAAATTGTCAATTCTATAGTTTTTTTTTTTTCCCCTCGAAAAATATTGAATGCAATTGCACGCACCGAGAACGTTGAGCGTACAAGACGAGAAACTTTCGCCCGCGTCATTGAACGCCTCGCACGTGTAAGTGCCGCAATCCTCGGGGAAGATCTCGGCGATGATGAGCTTGTGGATGTTGGCTTCGCTGGTGTACTGGAAGTCTTTGCTCGGTTTGATCTCTTTGTTGCTGTGCAGCCAAATGACGTCGAACTTGTTCGCCCCGATGATACGACAGCTAAGCGTCACCGCTTCACCGTCGTTCACCACTGTGCTCTTCAGGTGGTCGACTATTTGTGGCGCGTGATCATCGGTTTCGACCTTTCGTTTGGGCTCTGGTGCTTTTTCTACAGCTGCAACGCCAATATTTATTATTGTTATTATCCATCAACTTTATTTTCACTTCTCCCTTTGTCATTTAATTATAGGATGCACCGTACATTCTAAATAATTCAAACACTCGAAAAACTACGTGTTAAAGAATTGTTTAACATTTTTGTCTTTGAAAAGGATAATTTGTTATCACTTTATTGACAATCGTGTGAAATTTGGCCTCGACCGATTCAAAGTCGATTGTCTTATGACATTTTCATTTTCGTTGTATCTAATTTGTATTTACCGCCAAACAGCAAACCACGTGACTAAATAAAGCTGATCACGTGACGAAAACGAGATATCATGGCAGCCGCCGCGAAAGTGACAGTTGAAGTAAGAAAGTATAGAAACAGTAACGAGTAGTACTCACGATTGATCTTTAACTTGCAAGTGGTAGATATGGTTCCAATACTGTTGCTAGCCGTGCATACGTATTCGCCCTCGTCTTCGGGGAAGACCTCGGCGATCGTCAGTGAAGCTACTCCATTCTTATACCTTAAATCGACAACATCTGACGACGTGACGATCTGTTCGTTCTTCAACCACGTGACTTGTGGCTCGGGATCACCCTCGACTTTGACAGTTAGTTCGAGCCTCGTGCCGTCGTCGATCTTTAGCTCACTATCCAACTGCTGGACGAATGCCGGTGGTCCCATCGTTGTGTCAGGGGCAGCTACGCGCATACATTTTACCAGATAGAGGTTAGTGCAATTTCATTCAAACAAAAATGTATACTATTGAGATTATTTAACTTGATGTAAAACATGGTAAAACTTACGAATCAGTTCTTTTGTCGTGCTTCTCGATCTGGACGGGCTGCCCGTCGTGTCCAACTTCGAGCCATACTTCTTGGCCGATTTCTTCGCTTTGGGTTCGGGTTTATCGAACACGGGTTCGGGTGTGACAGGTTTCGGTGGCTCGGGCTTCTTTTCCACGACTGGGACCGGCGCAGGCTCTGGCTCCGGAATCGTGACCCGGTGCAGCTCGCGCTCGCTTATCGGTATGTTGGCGACCGGAGTGTGGCCTGGCTTGAACGGCGTCGACCTGATGACCGTGGTCGTGACCGGCTGATACGGAGCCGGCTTGAGCGGCTTTTCGATGAACCGGCGCTCTCCGGAATGTAAGAAATCGTGGGCCAGCTGTTCTTGCTCCTCGGTCTCGCCTGAGCCCTCGACGATGACAACGCAGCTCGTCTCGTCCGTGCCGTGGCAATTGATCGCCACGCACCTGTACTTGCCGCTGTCCTCGGGCTTGCAGTCGACGATCTCCATCGTCACCACGCCGTCCGCGTTCGTCATCGTGTAATCCAATTTGGACAATTCTTTCTGGTTCTTGTACCATTTGACCGTGGGCGTTGGTTTGCCGCTCAGGCAGCACAACAGTTTACAGGTGTCGCGGGCTTGCATGACACGAGGACGCAGCAGGAAGGTAAAGTCGGGAGCGGATTCTTTCGTCTCCATCCAGAAGTGATACGGCAAAGGCTCGCGTCTTCTGACTGGCTGGTAGGCTTCTGGTTTGTATGGCGGTACGTCTTTGGGCAGAGCTGAAAACAATTATTGTCAAACATTATTATGGTACCTGTGCGACTAAATTTTTGTTTTTTTTTAATAAGTTATAATAAATATACAGGCACAATCGAATAATAAATATATACGTGAATTTTTTTTCGCGTCCAATAAACTGCCGCTGCTGCCGTCTAACCACACGTGCGCAATAAAATTTGTTTAATGTTAAACATGATGTCAACGATCATTGCATTTGTAATATAATTATAATATGTATAATGTAAAAAAAACGTATTTCTCTTCCAATGATGGCGTGTATATAGTTGCGCACGACGCGTATACACGCCCGTAACACCTTGTTAAAAAGTATGTGCGATGAAGAAGAAGTATTAATCAATAATATGTATAAGAGAGGATAATCTCATTATTGGTAAACGAGATTGTTGAAAAAAAAAAAAAAAAAAAAAAAGTAATCCTGTAATTCCTCATCAGACACTTTCGCTCGGCGGGACAACGTTTATAGAAAATGCCGCGTAAGTCTCGCCCTTTTTGCCGATCGCTTGGACTGTGTACTGGCCGATATCCTGAGCGTTGGTTGCCTTTATGCCAAATCTGAAGCTCGTCTCGCCGTCTTTGCTGAAACGGTATCTACTACTCTTCTCATCTATCGATTTACCGTCCTTCAGCCAAGTTACTGTTGAGTTACAAACGTTTTTGTAAAAAAAATTCCAAAAATTTCCTGGTACAATGTGAAAAAAAAAAAAAAAAAAAAAAATGAAAATTTCTACCTTTGAGAGGCGCATCTTCAAACTTGCACGATGCGTAGACGGCTTCTCCTTCTGTTACA